CGAATACCCAGTCACAACTGTGATGGTTTGAGTTTCATAGGTTCAATCTGTCCTCATCTGTTTCCCAAGCCTGAGCTGCATCAATGCTGGAAAGTTGTCTCGAGGAGATCTGAATGACTGCTTCATCCCCTGCACCCCCAACGGCTGCATGGAGCTCATCCGACAGACAGGTGGCGCTATGCAAACACTCCCATAAATGAAGAGAGAAAAAACACAACAAAAACTAAACACAAAGCAATGTTTTCAAAACAACATTTTATTAAAAATCACTTAGGGGGACTTTCTGCTTTGTGCAGATGTTCTAATTTAGCCATATGTGTGTTTCTAGTTCTAATGGCCTGTTTGAGGGAATGCTACACAAACTCTCAGATTTAAATCCAGAGTTGGACTAGGCATCTATTAAGCTTGGTTTTTGTCGCCATTCAGAGGTGGACGTATACAATCCAAATGTTCCGATTTTCTCCTGTGATGGTTGGACCTTCTGCGTCTAGACTGATGGCTGAATATGTGGCTCCATGAGTTACAGCGAGTCATTCTGAGTACAAGGCGTCCCAGGCCATCATGCTTGTAGAGGTTTGATCTTGGTGAGACTGTGAGGAAAGTGCTATTTCTTACGCTGATATTCTCCGAACCAAAGTTACCATTTCCACTGTCAATGTCCATGTAATTAAAATAAATCCACTCCACAACGTCTTGAAGATGAAAACTGAAGGTTAGTGTTCTTCTTAAAGCTTACAAAACTTACAGGAATTAACAAAAATATCCTATGATCAAAATAAAAGGGTTTAAAGTCTGTCATAAAGTTGAAGAGCAACAGGTAAGAAGACTGTTTGCTTCCTTCCTTGCAATCTAAAAATAAAAATGAAGAGGCTGAGGAAGCCGGCTTTCCGTCCTTAAAGCGACAGTACACATTTTTTAATCCAAAATCTAAGTAACCTTATAAACATGAATTCTTATTCTTCTAACTTTGTACATATAATATTTATCATTTTAATCATGAAATATATCTATATATGAAATTAGAAATTCAAGTTAAATTATTATCTATCCTTTTAAGCAATTTCTATTTATTTAAACTAAAAGTCCACTTTAGCCGCTACAATGCAACCATCACTGTGTTTGGCTGTAGGTATGATGGTAGGTTTCTGGACTGCTGTGTTGGTCGCACTCCACATGCTAACCTGGCAGCAAGATTAATGGTTTGGTTATAACCAATCACAGCAATCAAATCAAACAATTGAAATAACAGCAGACACCATGAGTAATAACTTCGGATTTTATGTTCCTGCTCTTCCTCTTTCAAAGATGAAATCCTGGAATCTGACAAATAGGTAGGATAACAGCAGCTATGCTTCGGCCTCCTGAGCTGCTCGGCATTAGCCTGGGTAGCTCCTGCTTTAGGGTTAGGGTCAGAGCAATATGTCCCGCCTTAAACCAAAATATTGAAATCCCACAAAACTTAAAAAACAACCTTCTGGACTTTGTTTCCAAGTTAGAAGGAAACTTTTTCAATTCAAAATGTCAGAAATAATGTTAAGTTCCAGGCTTTATACAGTAACCCAACAAAGCCTTGGGTTAGGCTTAGAAAACATCCAAATTAAAATGGATAAATTGGTCCGGCCCTTTTGAATGAGCAGACATTTGGGTTCTTTGTTAGCCTGCAATGCCCAATACCTGTCTATGTCTCTGAAAGGGGGTCATTAGAGGGAAATGTTGGCCTTTCTGAACAGGCAAGGTCTTATGGGGGTGGGGGTTGTGAGGTTAGCCTCTCCTGGGAATGTTCTTCACTGTTCCATGTTTTCTCCATTTCCACATAGTGCCAGGTTTGCTAGCTTTGTACCTTCAAAATAAAATCCCAAGCCTAGAATTCAGATATTATTCATGTTATATTTTGCTAATAAGAACATTGGTTTGAACAACAGGAATATTTACTGTCAGCCCAGAATCCCTTATCTAATAAGAAACCATCTTGTTCCCCGGAAACAAATCCAGTTTTGGCCTTTTATGTAGCGAACGGCAATAGAGGACCCAGAATTCACCCAGGTGAGATCAGTTAGCATAAAACTGTATATTGAAATGTAAACCACTGCAGGTCGAGACTGAAACACCAGCGTCTGGAAGAATTTACTCACGGTACAGGCAGCTAATGGATAGTCACTCAGTCAGGTGGGATGATCAGGAGGAATAACCAGACTCTGAGAACAGATCGAGGGTCAGCAGCAGCTGATCAGAAATCTTAATCAGGACACAGAACTGGGTCAGAGATCCAAACAGCACAACTAAACAGGTCTGACATGGTTTAGGCCAGCTCAGAGAATCAGAGGTCAGATTCAGGTCAGAAACAGGCAGACAGACTTTCAGAAATAGTGGATTACACTCACCAATGGCTCTCACTAATCTGGCACTAGTGACTGGTCTTAGAGCAGGTTTTATATTCAGAAGTGCAGGTCGATCGGATGGAGGCTGACAATAACAGGAAGCAGGTGTGTCGAATGGTCAATCAGACCAACACTAGAGCCAAAATCATGACATTTGAATGATGCAGAACTTTAAAAAAAGAGAAAACCACAAGGAATCAATAGCAAAGCTTCATTTGACATATGACTTACAGGAAGTCATGTCCAACCCATCCTGTTTTACTTCCCCACTGGCCATAAATCTAAGGTTAGAGCCAATAAACAGAAGAAGCTTTTAGGAGATTTTTATATTTAGTCATTAACACACCTCAGACATTCTTTGTTGTATCTGTTGACCTCACAATGACCGCCAAGAGTTAGTATGCTTAGTTATCAGTCATTTCTCTCTCACAATGACATCACACCTTGACTTTAGGATTCTGTGCAGGTGTGTCAGTGGCAGGCAAACACGCTGTGGTCATCGGTCGCAGTAAAATCGTCGGGGCTCCCATGCATGACCTGCTGCTTTGGAACCATGCCACAGTGACCACCTGTCACTCAAAGACCCCAGACCTACCTGAGCAGGTGAGCTTACAGAGTCACATCTGGATCACAGAATGCCACGCGCCACTTGTTTATTAGTGGATGTTATGTCCCCCGTGTTCAGGTGAGGCGGGCCGACATCCTGGTGGTGGGAGCAGGCAGAGCAGAGATGGTGAGGGGGGAGTGGGTGAAGGAAGGAGCTTTGGTCATCGACTGTGGAATCAATCACGTTCCAGGTTGAGTGGATCCATCCAACAACCACTCAGTCAGCTCCCTGTGGGATGGATAGCAGCCTGACCTTTGAACTTTTCCAGATGAGAGCAAAGCCAGCGGTAAACGGGTGGTTGGTGACGTTCACTATGATTCAGCCAATCAGAGAGCAGGATTCATAACTCCAGTTCCTGGAGGGGTGGGGCCGATGACAGTGGCTATGTTAATGGAGGTAATTAAATCTTATCATCTTTCTAGTTTATCAAATTTTATTTAGTAATTAAATAATAGAAATAAATTATTCATTTATTTAGGCTTTAAGTATTTTTGGCATACAGATAAACATACAAATCAAGAAAGTTACAGATATACATCAGTTTCTATCCCTTTTGAATATATCAAGAAAACAACAACATAGAAACCAAAGTAAAAAGGAAACAAGAAAAAAGAAAAACAAAACCAAACTAAAGACAAACAAAGTGCCTATGGAGCATGGAGTGGAACAGGAATATCACATATACAACAATTATCTGAAAGTACTGAAAGTTACCTTCTATTATGAGGTCATTTTACTCATCAGCTCAGTCCATCCTGATTTCCTTAGACTTAGACAAACTTTATTGTCATTTTCTATACAGAGTTTATACAAAACGAAAATTTGTTTGTACCGCTTTCACAAAATTTCCATTCCATAAAGTTCAGCAGGGATCAAATGTAAACAATGTGGAAGAAAAAAAAACATGGTGCCAAAAACACATATGGGAAGTTCAGAGCATTAATATACATGGAGCCAATATGCTGTGTTTTGGTTTGGTGTTATCCGTGTGACGCAGAGTCTGAGGCGCTGCAGCCTCCTCACCACACAGTGAGACAGC